CTAACAACCTCAGACATGCGAAATCTGAATGGAAATCTGAATACAGATGTGTCACTTACTTTACTGAAAATAAGAAAGAAAGATTTTCCCAATGACCCTTACTTTACTGAAAATAAGAAAGAAAGATTTTCCCAATGACCCTTACTTTACTGAAAATAAGAAAGAAAGGTTTTTCCAATGACCTTTCATTTCTCATGGTCGACTTCCTTATGAATGACGGGAAGAATGTTGGTTTAAAATTAAAATATGCACTTACAGATGATTTGCAAGATGGAGGGATGCCTTCCTGTATAATGGGTTACGAAATCTGTTTTTGACAATTTTAAGAACTTAAACACTACCTTGAATCAAAGTTAACAAATTCTAATTAGACTAAATAGCATGCAATTTAAAGTAAATTTGCGAGAATAAAATGTACCCAAATTAAATTAAATATGTTCATTATTAAATTAAAATACCATCAACTGACAAATCTAAAAATTAAATTACTGCAGAATTGAAGATTTAACCTTAATTAATACTAAAACAAACTTGAATAGTGATTAAATCAACATGCTTGAAATTGAGAAGAAGTGTGAATGTCATATAAGTAATCATTTAAAGAAATGCTTTATATTATAAAAATTAAACTAATTATAGTCAGGAAAAGAACATTACTTTCAAGAAATTCAAGAGCTTGAAATTCATTACATGAAACGAAATTGCTGAAGCAAATACATAAACTAATGTGACTACAAGAATGATGAAAAACAACCTAGATCTATTAGAAATTATGTTGAAATCCGAAATCTATAAATAGTTGCAGAGAAAATAAAAGTCTAAAAATTTACAGGTTTTGAGTAGGATTGACTGTGTCTTCTGTCAATCAACATTTCCCTTTTGTTCTCCTTTTTTCGATTGTAACTCCTCACTTTCTGCAATTTCAAAATTCATGGATAATTTCTTAATGTAGTTGGATACCTCCAGTTGATAAGGTTAGATTGCCTTCCAAATTTTGTCACATGTTCTTTTTCTTTGATAACTCATATTCGTAATTGAAACCTCCTCCCTAATTTCAATTAAAATAAATCTAATTTAACTCAAAAATGTAATTAAAAGATAAAATCTTATCTTTTTATCTCATCATAAATCCAAAATTACATATTTGACATGACAAAATCTCTTTTATCTATTTAAAAATTTTTGACATGTGGCATGAATTTAAATTTTTGTAATTTATAAATGGAGTTTTTTCCTCTCGCCGTCGCTAGGGTTTCCTCGCGACGGTCGAGCCCCTCGCCTAGGCGCTTCTCCCTGGTTTCCTGCAGGGCTTCTCCCCCCGCTTCTCTTTTTGTTCTTCCCATGGCTCATCCGCTTATGTTGCCTTGGACTTATCGCAATCTCGAAGAGGTTTATTTGATTTTTGAGTCCAATCAATCGAGCCTCCAACAAATGCCGAACCCCGCTTCGATCCCTGCAACACAGCAATCTGGGATGGAGACGATTTTGTTCCGACTAGATCTAGGGATGGATCACTGTTTCGCATGCAATTGTGCAGAGAGAAGGGGTGGCTTGATTCTGTTCTGGAAGGATGGGTCTACCTTTCAAAGTTCCTTTTTCTCGCTATTTTTAGATCTAGGGTGGGCTTTGCTGTCCGGTGAGCAGTGGTGCCGAGAGAAGCCATCTCACATTGATGTCGTAATAGTAGATCCGGGTGGATGTCAATGGCCATTAACAGCGCTTTCTGACCAACCTGAGATGGATTCCCCTCTGCTTTGGCTGTTTTTAGGCGCCATCAATGTTACCTTGAGCAAATCGGAAAAGGACAGGGGCATTCTCTTCTCCCGGTTGGGTTCTGCCCAGGGGGATGTAAGTGGGTTTTGGTATGGAAGGTCAAATTTCCATGCTGTGAAGGATCCTGATGGTGTTCTGCAAGGGCAGTATGGCCCTCTTGCTGGTAAAGGGGCTCTAGATCCCTTATTAACCGATGATAGCCCAGGATTGTTGAGGAGTGGAACAGATGGGCACATGTTTGGGTACACTTGCAGTCGAATAGGGTACCTGGAGACTGCACTGAGGAGGA